CCTGTTATATTCCTGCTCCTGAGAATAATGGCTATATTAAGAAGAGGTCCAAAAACAAAAACAGAAAAGAAGTCCTATACTGACTTGGGTCTGCTGCTTCAGGAGGTGTTTGGAGTGTGCATTCTACTGTTGTGTTTTCACTGCTCCTTCCCACAGGTCTGTCCTTTGCAAAGTTTTTCCTTGCCTTCAGAAGGAGGTGGGTGTATTTGGACCTTGTCCACTATGTTGCAAGTTTTAATTGTGTTTTTGTCTGCTTGATAAAGGAAGATAGATCGTTTAAAAAAAAAAGAAGAGGAAGAGGAAAAGGAAGAAGAAGCAGCAGTGGCAGCAGCAGAAGCTGCTAGAGGGATCCTATTTCCCCTAGAGCTGAAGCTTTGCAGCACTCTGTGATCAATAGATTTAGTGCATGGGAGGGGTTTGTGCTGGTCCTCTGGTGGAGGGGTCTGCTGCACTGATTCTCAGACAGACTTGCCCTAGTGGAGATGCACCTGCAAGGTGCAAGAGTGTGGGACTTTGTGTAAGCGGCCCTGGCCTCCAGTTTTGGCATTGTTTTGCTCACTGAAGTTGGTCAGGACTGATGGAGAAAGAGGGTGGAAATGTCATCACCCCACTGTCTTATCTCCAGAGCAGGGAGCTTGTGCCTGCCACTCTTCAGGAAGCCCTCACAGAAGAGGAAACATTCACCCTTTTGTGTCCCTGGCTTCTGTCAGATCCCTGCCTTCACTATATCTGTGACTGAGCTGTCTGCCTACCATGCAGCCCAGTACTCCTGTGTTTTGTCTCAGTGGGTTTCCAAATGCCAAATTTCAGGCATCTGTGTTGCACATACCCACACTGCTCCTCTGGGGGAGGGTCTCACTGTGCTGTGGCCAGTGCTAGTTTGTCCCAGAAAATGCACATGCGACTGTGCAGCAGTTCAGTTTATGGTAAAGCACAGCAAAAAACCAGCACCAGGGTGCTGCCCTCAGCCTGTGTCTTCATTCCTATGCTAGTGAACAGAGCAGTACTTTGGTGCCACAGCTTCTTTTGTCCCTGGAGAAGCCATGACAAACTCCCAAATGTACTCCAAGAAGGGGTACTGTTTCTCCCCATGCAACCCAGGGGATCCTTAGACCACGCTGCCTGCTCCTGGGTCTCTGCCCTTCTTCCCTACCAGAATGCCACTAAGCTGACCAGGCACAACCCTGGCAATGCCACAGACTTCTAAAACTTCAGATTTTGTGCTCCACTGCCTATAAAAATTTGCAGTCATTGGTTTTGAGTATGAGTTTTTCTTGTGCAATTCCCTGCATGTGCTTTCATGCACTCTCTCCCTCTTTCTCTTCCCTGTGTGTGTGTGTGTGTGTGTGTGTGTGTGTGTGTGTGTCGCTCCTCTCTCCATGATCAGGTCTCCTTCTCCTCTGCAGCACCGACAGTTCTTTTCTCCCCCAAATCCACTCTCTGCAGCTTCTACCTTCCAAAAGGTGGCCATTGTTCCATCTGTAGATGTGCAGTTTGTGCTCTCAGTCCTCAGATCAATTTCTTGAATGTTCAGAATGATTTGATATTTATCTAACTGTGTTTGAGGGATCAGGCAAGCTTAGGGTCCCCCTACTCTTCTACCATCTTACTTAACTCATCTCAATTTTTACTTTTTTTTATAACTTTTCATTTTGTTGATGTGTTTTCCTGATTTTATTTAGTTGTACTAAATAAAAGCATTGTACTCCGTGCTGCTTGTAGTTTGCTAAAGTCCTTTAAGAGCGTTATTCTGAATTCTTTGTCAGACACTTTGTAGACCTCCATTTTTTAAGGGTTAGTCATTGGAGTTTTATATTCCCTTGGTGGTGGTCACATTTCTTAGATTATTCATAATCTTTGTGGCCTTGTGTCTGGCACTTCAGGAAATAGGTACATCTTCCAGTCTTTGTAGACTGGGTTTGTCAGGAAAAGCCCTTCACCAGTTAGGCAGTCCAGAGTTTCTGGGTGGGCAGTCTGGTGCTGTCCACAAATGGGCTACTGCCGGTGGGCTGATCCAGTATCTGGAGCAGCAGGTGTGAAGGCCTGGTATTTGGGTGCATGGAGGCCAGTCTAGTGCCTAGGTCTATAGGGATAGGTGTGGAATTTGAGTGGTGGTAATGGACCTTGGGACCTGGGTCTGTGTGGGTACTACTAGAGCCAGGTGTACAGGAGCCATCCAGCACCCTGGAGCACCGTGATGGGCCCAGCAACAGGTCCATGGGTACTGGTCTGATACTGGGACAGGTCAGGAGCCTGGTTTCACAGGAGTGAGCCTAGAGACTGAAGCCATAGGTACTGGCCTGACCCTAGGGTTTTCTGGGAACCTGGACTATAGGAGGCTGCCTATAACCTCAGTATGCAACATGGAGGTTGCGTCTGTGGGGGCTGATGTGGTCCTGAGGTGGGATGGGAACGTGGGTCTCCATGGCTGGTCTGGTGGTGAGGTAAGCCAGAAACCTGAATGTGTGGGAGCCAGGATGCAATTTAAGTCCATGGAGGCCAATCTGGTACTGGGGTTAGCTGGCAGCCTGAGTTCACAAGTGCCTATCTGGAACCTGGGTTTATGGGGACTAATTGGGGGGCTAGAGCCACAGGAGCCACCACAGTCATGGAACTGGTGAGCATTGGAGTGAGCCAGGAGCCTTGCTTTTGAGACCCTGTCAGGAGCTTGGTGCCATGGAGCTGGCTAGCATCAGAATGGACTGGGAATCTGCTGGATGGGAGCTGGGTGGTGCCAGAGTGGATTGGGAGGGTAGGTTTATGGGAGCCATCCCACTGGGAGCCTGGGACTGTGGGAGGCACCTGGAGCAATCTGGTTCTTAAGATGGCGATTATATCTTCAGCATACAGGAAATCTAATGATAAGTGTATATTTCTACATATACATGCAGAGGTAAATAAATTGTACATAATGTATAATTTCAGGTATAGTGTTACATATGTATTCCATACAAGGACTTTATGTTCACCTTATTTTAATAATTGTTCAATTTATAAAATTCATATTCTAGCATTATAAATCTCTCCAGAAGAAAAAAAAGCCAAGAGAGAAAATGCTGTATATTATTGTAGTGATTTATGAGACTTTTTCCACCAGAAAGCCAAAAAAATTCAGCCATTCTCTGAACATACCTTGTAGTTTTATGCCATCCTACCTTTCTTATTATTTTCCCTCCTCTGTTGAAATCTAATTTATCCTTTTGGTTCCTGACTGAGTGTTGCCAGTTCTAATAAGCCTACCAAGAGCTGACACCATCAATTAACTTTTCTTTCTATATTTTTGAGCTATCTTTACATTTCCCACATTCTGTTGTGTATTTTCAGTATTGTTTTAGGAAGCAGGTGTGACTCTCAGTTCCTAAATATGAATGAAAGTGGGTTAAAAACATTATTTCCAAGTTTGCTTAATGTTGCTACATGAATACATAGAGAAGACTATTATATAAGAAATTTAAACTATAATGAAGAAATACTTATTTTTTATAGTATTAAATAATAACATTTACAGGAATTTAGGGCCACTTGTAAACCTCTCTCCAAACCTAGTCTGTAGGTATTCTGATAATTTGGATTAATCCTTTCCTTGTTGCAGTATAATTCCTGTGAATACATTCTTAATCACTATGTGCTGAAGTTTTGCCTTTTGAACTTGAGCTAAATGGGAAGTTAATGAACATATTCTTCTTCGTCTTGCTTTTCTCTTTTCTTTCTTTTTCTTTTTTCTTTTCTTTTTTTTTTTTTTTTAAGGTGGTGGGGGGAAGGGGTAGGGAAAGAGGAAGAGAGAATCTTAAGCAGGCTCCATTCCTAGTGAAGAGCCCGACATGTGGCTCTATCTCAAGACCCTGAGATCATGACCTGAGCCAAAATCTAGAGTCATACACTTAATCAACTGAGCCACCTGGGCACCCCAAATTTGCTTTTCATTGGTAAGTACTATGTTGGGATGTTTAGACTGTGCATAATTGCAGTTAATACCTATCATTGATTTGCAATATTCTGTTGTACACATACATTGCAGTTTCCATTCCACTGTTGATTTTGGGGTGGTTTTTAGGTTTTCTGTATTACAAATAGTTATATTAAGTGTATTCATGGATATTTTCCTTGTTGCGTGTATGTATGTATTTTATTTGGATATATATCATGAAACCATTCTCAGCATCATTCTATGAAAGAATTAGGATTTGGCCCTAATATCCACAGGCATATAACCATTTGGAGAAATGGAGCCACATCTTAATTATACTCTAATTATGTTCATTAGATGGTAAATAAACTAATAGAAAAATAGACACTGTATGACTTTCTTTAATTCAAATATGTAACCATAATTGCTATCAGTATTTGAGGCTGATTGAAAGGAAAATTAGGAGAAAGAAGTAATTCTATTATTTGCTTGATATCCACATTATTAGGTAACTTAACATTATAAAACCTTTCCTCTATCCCCAGAGTTGAATTGTGGAAGAGTGGACTTGTTGACATTCAACCAATTTGCAGTGCTCCTCTGGAAAAATTTCACTTTAAAGGTGGGTGAAGGCATCCATATAAAATGTTCATAAATTCCCGTTTGTTGCAGTTGAGGGGTATGTGTGTACATGCTTTTGAAAAAAGCAATTCCAAAGTTCATCTAAATGTATAAAACTGGTTAATCAATAGTTTAGTATGACCTATTAGAAAGTTGGGAGGGGAGAAGATGGGGTAGCACAAGATAGGCTAGGAAGCACTTGGCTCTTTCAGAGTGAAATTGGCAGACATTCAATATCATAGAGCTATCCATTTGCATTAAATGTGTATTCTCAGATTAATTAATACCATCTTTTTGTTCCTCTTCTAGAGGAGACATTTCTTTAATTTAATATTGGAAGTCTTATCAGTACTGGTGTTCCCAACAATGATTTTGGTATTCCGTACAATTATTAATATAAAGGCTGTTGGGCCTTACAATTTTATTTCTCAGCCTATCAATACTCTGCCTCCTTTCTTCATAAATCCTGGAGACTGGGAATTGATTTATGTGCCTTCTAATATTAATTTGGTAAACGACATTGCTGAGAATGTGAAGAGGAATCTGAACATCAGTGTAAAAGGTTAGAAATTAAAATTTTCTGTAAAACTTACTAAATTGCTTTTCAGTGGAGATAAAGCGGTGTTTTAAAAAAGAATAAAATCAGAGGAATCACACTTGCTATTTTTCTTTTATTTTGTGGGAGGAAGTGTAAAAGGAGAGGTGGGGGGAGGGAATATGAAGCAGGCTCCACACCCAACGCAGAACCCAACGTGGGGCTCAATCTCATAACCATGAGATCATGGCCTAAGCTGAAATCCAGATTCAGATGCTCAACCTACTGAGCCACCCAGGCGCCCACACTTCTTGATTTTAAAACTTGCAGTATAACTGTAGTTGTAAAGACAATGTGGTATTGGTGGAAGGATAGACACATAAATCAATGAAACAATACAGGCCTACCACAGGGAGATATTGTGTTTCAGTTTCAAACCACTGAAGTAAAGCAAATATCACAGTAAAGCTAGTTAGATGAATGTTTTGGTTTCCTAGGACATATAAAAAGTTATGTTTACACTCTACTGTAGCCTGTTAAGTGTGTAGTAGCATTATGTCTAAGAAAGCATTGCATATCTTAATTAAAAAATACTTGTTGGGGCGCCTGGGTGGCGCAGTCGGTTAAGCGTCCGACTTCAGCCAGGTCACGATCTCGCGGTCCCGGAGTTCGAGCCCCGCGTCGGGCTCTGGGCTGACGGCTCGGAGCCTGGAGCCTGTTTCCGATTCTGTGTCTCCCTCTCTCTCTGCCCCTCCCCTGTTCATGCTCTGTCTCTCTCTGTCCCAAAAATAAACAAACGTTGAAAAAAAAAATTTTTTTTTAAATAAATAAAATAAAAAAATAAAAAAAAACACTTGTTACTGGAGTGCCTAGGTAGCTCAGTCAGTTAAGCATCTGACTTCGGCTCAGGTCATGATCTCACAGTTCATGAATTCGACCCCTGCATCAGGCTCTGTGCTGACAGCTCAGAGCCTGGAGCCTGCTTCAGTTTTTGTATCTCCCTCTCTGTCCCTTCCTCACTCATGTGATTGCTCTCTCTCTCTCGCTATCTGTCTCTCTCTCAAAAATTAATAAATGCTTAAAAAAAATACTTGTTAGTGCTAAAAAATGCTGACCATCATCTGAGCTTTCAGCGAGTCATAATCACTGATCACATATCACCATACAAATAAAATAATGATGAAAACGTTTGAAATATTGCAAGAAATACCAAAATGTGACACATAGACATGAAATGAGCAAATACTGTTGGAAAAATGGTGCCAGTAGACTTGCTCGACTCAGGGTTGCCACAAACCTTCCATTTGTAAGAAACACAGTAGCTGTAAAGTGCAATAAAACAAGTTATACCTGTGGAGAACCCAAAGATCTGCCAAAATATTTTTTTACAATAGCAGAAGGATAATCTTTTCAACACATGGTGCTGAACAATTGGACATCAGTATCTAAAACAGTGAAACCTCACTCTTAAACAGAAAATACATCAAAATGGATTACAGATCTAAAAGTAAAATGATAAAACACTTAGGAGAGAGCATAGGAGAAAACCTTTGTAACTTCATAAAGAATTAATTGAAGAATTCTTAGGCATGATACCATTTCTGAAAAAAATGAAAAATTGGACTTCTAATATATAATATAAGTGGTTGCTCTTGGGGTTAAAATTATGCATACATAATTTTTCAGTCAATTTAGAATATTTTACTACTTTATTGTAATGGCAAATGTTTACCAGTGTATAGGTCCCTTTATATCTCTCTCTTCAGTTTGTAGTTTTCACATCTATGTAAGTTGAAAACTATACCAGGAAGTGTTAACACACATATTTTAAAAAACTTAAGAGAAAACTATTTAACCAGATATTTACCATAGTTCTTGCTTGTAACTTTATTCTTGAAATTCCAACTTTCCTTCTTCTATCATTTTCCTTCTTTCAGAAGAAATTTCTTTTAATAATTTTTTAGAGCATGTCTACTAGCATTGAATTCTCTTTGTTTTCCTTCATCTGAGAATGTCTTTAATTCATTTTCATTCCTGAAGATTATTTTCATTTGGTATAAAATTTTGGATTGACAGTCTTTTTTTTTTTTTTCAACGTTTATTTATTTTTGGGACAGAGAGAGACAGAGCATGAACAGGCGAGGGGCAGAGAGAGAGGGAGACACAGAATCGGAAACAGGCTCCAGGCTCTGAGCCATCAGCCCAGAGCCCGACGCGGGGCTCGAACTCACGGACCGTGAGATCATGACCTGGTTGAAGTCGGACGCTTAACCGACTGCGCCACCCAGGCGCCCCTTGACAGTCTTTTCAACATTTAAAAAGTATTTGCCACTTTTTCCTGACTTCCTTGGTTTTTGAAAAGAATCTGCATTTGAATCCTTGTTTTTTTATAGGTACTGTATCATTTCTCTCTGGCTGCTTTCAAGATTATTTTCTGTCTTTATTTGTCAAAACTATTATTACTATATGTCCGAGTGTGGATTTCTTTTGGTTTATTCTGTTAGGGGTTCACTGAGCCTTGTGAATCTGTAAGTTTCTATCTTTCATGAAATTTGAAGAGTTTTCAATAATTATTTCCCAAAGATGTATTGTCCCATAGGTCATTAAGGATCTATTCAAGTTTTTTCCCATTTTTTCCATCTCTCATTCAGATTAGATAATTTCTACTGATCTGTCTTCATGACTCCTTCCTCTGTTATCTCTCTACAGCTTTTGAGCCATCATATGAGTTGTATTTTTAAGTGCAATTTGAAGTGATCTCCATCTCCTAATTTATCTTGTTTTGAGACAGGTTTTTTTGGGCTCCTGGCTGGCTCAGTTGGTAGAGCCTATGACTCTTGATCTCAGGATTGGTAGAGCATGTGACTCGTGATTTCAGGATTGTAAATTCAAGCCCCAGATTGGGCATGGAGCCTACTTTAAAAATAAAACAGAAAAAAGAAAACTGTGACACAGCTTTTTGAAATATAAGGCATATACCATACATTTACCCATTTAAAACATACAATTCAGTGGCTTTTAGTGGATTCAGAGAGTTGTGCATCCATTACCACAATCAATATTAGAGCATTTTAATCACCAAAAGTAAATCCTGTAACCTTTAGCCATGACTCTACAATTTCCTATCCCACCAGGATTAAGAAAACACTAATCCACTTTCTGTCTCTATCGATTTGCCTATTATAAACCTTTTATATAAATGGTTTATAAAGAAATCTTATATGTATAAAATTTATATAAATGGAAATTGTGGGCTATTGTGCCTGGCTTTTTTCATTTAGCATAATGGTTTCAAGGTTCATCTATGTTGTGGTTTGTATCAATACTTCATTGCTTTCCATTGTCAGGTTATAGCCCATTGTATGGATGTGCTGCATTCACTTGGTATATCCTTCATCAGTTGATGGACATTTGGGTTGTTTCTGCCTTTTGGCTATTATGCTGTGAACATTCATCTCTAAATTTTATGTAGACATATGTTTTCATTTCTTTTGGCTATATACCTAAGAGCGGAATGAATATGTCATGTGGTAACTATGTTTAACTTTTGGGGGGTACCAAACTGTTATCTAAAGTTGCTATGCCATTTCCTATTCTGATCAGCAGTGTATGAAGGTTCCAGTTTTTCCATAATCTCACCAGCACTTGTTACCTTATGTCTTTTTTATTGTAACTACCTCAGTGGTTGTGAAGTGGTATCTCACTGTGATTTTGATTTGCATTTCCCTTATGATTAATGATTTATATTTATATATATTTTATAATGATTATTTAAAATTGGAGTAAGGTTTATAAAATACCTAAAATTATTTTGAACCTCCAGTATCTATTAAGTAGTTGTGATACCAGTATTTGAAAAACAGTGTTTTTAAATTTAAAATATTGGGATAAGCTTTTATCCCCTCAGGAGGAATTATCAGATATTTCCATTATCCTGAACAATTTATCCTCTTTACAGTTCGAGGGTTTGCTTCAGAAATGGAGTTTGAGAAGTATGTTAAGTATGACTCTGGATCTCATAATATACTGGCTGCCATCATTTTCGACTGTAACTTCAAAAGCAGCAGTGATCCTCTGCCACTTCAGGTGAGATTGTTTTATTTTGAGTTTTCTAAATACATAGTTTTCTAGCAGTTGTACTTCCAGTTTCTAGGATTATAATGATTTGATATTACTAACCCTATTTTATAAATGAAGAAACCAATTTTCCCAAGATCAAGCTACCAGTATACAATAGAGCGAGATTATAAATCCAGATCTGAGTAATTTCTATGCTCTTAATTAACTCTTGCACTATGATAAGGAAAAAACTACACACAGAAGGCCTCAGATTCATGGGAAATTTTGACTTCTCAGGCATCCATTCTAGTTCTGCAAAGAGTGGTGAGCAGATACATTTTCACTAACAAGGAACCACGCATGGGGAAAAAAAATCCTCTTTCTCTGACTGAAACAGAGTTTTACGGGGCACTGGGTGGCTCAGTTGGTTGGGCGTCCGACTTCAGCTCAGGTCATGATCTCACGGCTCGTGAGTTTGAGCCCCACACCGGGCTCTGTGCTGACAGCCCAGAGCCTGGAGCCTGCGTTGGACTCTATGTCTCCCTCGTTGTCTGCCCTTCCCTCGCTTGCACTCTGTCTCTGTCTCTCAAAAATAAATAAACATTTAAAAAAACATTTAAAAAAAAGAAAGAAACAGATTTTAAGTTCTCTCATAAATCAGTAGAAAAAACTCTAAGGTTCAGCCATATTGGTTCAGAACTAGGACAACCACAGGCGCTGAGAAAGGATCTGATTATAGTATAGTCCATGGGAAGGAGAACGAAAAACAGTGCTTTCAACTTGGTGTCTACCTAGCAGATCTTATTAGACATTCTATGCTGGAGGTGATGGAAGTAAATGGTCTATAATACCTAGACGTGGAGCCAAATTCTATGTTTAGAATGCATTTGTGTGTTAGTAGAAGGCAAAAGTAATAAATGCACTGATAGGATAATCATAAGTAAATAGATAGGCCCAAGAAAAAATAGAAAACTTAAGCTGATTAATAACTATTTTTTAATAAAAATGTTAATCAGGGGCACCTGGGTGGCTCAGTTGGTTAAGCATCAGACTCATGGTCTCAGGTCATGCTCAGGTCATGATCTATGGCTCATGAGTTGGAGCCCCATGTCAGGTTCTGTGCAGACAGCTCAGAACCTGGAGCCTGCTTCGGATTCTGTGTCTCCCCCTCTCTTTGCCCCTCCCCTATTCACACTCTCTCTCTCCTTCAAAAATAAATTAACATTAAAAAACTAAAAAAAAAAAAAAAGAAAGAAAATGTTAATCAGAACTCATCCCATCTGACTCTCCAAAAAAAGGCCCAGATGAGTTTAACTACTTTCAAGGAATCTGTTTTTTATAAGTGCTTCCTGAAAATGTAAGAACTGCAAAATTGATATCATATTATGAGATCATATCACCTTGATATTAACAAGTATATAAACTTGATACCAACACTGGATAAGCATAAATCAAGAAAACTATTTTAATTCTATTTCACTTATGAACATAGGTTTGGGCAGATAGCTTTCTAAACCTTCTGTACATCATTATCCTGGTATTTCATTTTCTTGCACTCCTGGGTTGGTTCTACTTTTTTTGGTATACTGTATCTTCCTCTTTCTTGATTTTTGTCCTCTTTTTGCTGGAGTGAAACCACAAGTAACTTTCTAGGCAAGAGGAGGGAGTAAAGTTTCTGAGTAATTGCCTGGCTGTTTCTTTGTACTTCACACTGCTGGGACAGAATGTCTGGGTATACAATTCTACTCTAAATAGTGTATTTTCTCAGAACATTGAAGACATTATGCCAGTCTCCTAACATCCAGGGGTGCTGATTAGCATTCCTTTGTAGTTAAACAGGTACCACCCCAAACATGAACACACCCAGCTCTTCCATCACCCCAAGACTTTTTTCCCTTTATGCTTGGGGTTCAAACATTTCATGAAGAAGAGTCTTGGTGTAGGTCGTCTTGCGTTCATCCTGTTACACAACAGACTCCTTCAAGCTCAAGTCTTTCTTGAGCTTTGAGGAAATGTTTTCAGTTATTTAGTAGTTGCTCCCCTCTATCTTCCCCTGTTCTCTTTTTCTGTCTTTACTATTATGCAAATGTGAGATCTCCCACATTAGTGATTTAAGTCCCTTATGTTTTCTCCCATATTTCTTTTGTTTTTTCTGTATTCTCAGAGAGTGCCTACATTTTGTCTCCCAGCCCTTACCTTGTTTCTTTTAAGCAATGGAATTTTTCATTTCAAAGGGTTCTTGCCCCACTAATGGCTCCTTTTTAAAAAAGCACCTTCTGGTTTTATGCATTGCAGCCTTTTCTAGTACCTAGGATTCTACACTTGGAGCCATCTGGGTGCTATACCCTACCTGACTGGAACAACTATGCTAGTTTTTAAATTTTTAAATTTTTTAAATTTTTAAACTTTAAAATTTTCATATATGTATATATTTTTTTAATTTTCCCTATATTTTTAAGATCTCCAAATCACATGTCAACTCCAAGCCCTGGGTCTCTCCAGGACTCCCCTGAGAAAATCTGCACCTAGATCTAGTGTATTCCCTCTTGCTCGCTTGGTGACAAATTCTCTTCCTTTCATTTGTCAACACACTTCCATCTGCTTTCTAACTTGAAATCTTTTATATTGTTAACCCACTCATGACCCTTGCCTTTTGTTTTCCTCTTTTGTTGGAGGTTTATTTCTATTCCATTCATTTTAGGGAGGAGAAGCACCATGTCCTCCAAAATCCAAAGACTAAAGATTTAAGTTAGAGACGAAAACAGACACACACAAAACATATTCAATCGCCGAAGCGTATATAGGTAATAAACTTAAGAGCTAACCAGTGTAAAGGGATAAAGAAGGCATGGCGCAGGAAGGCCGGATGAGAAGGAGACCTGTTGCAGGAAATAACACGGGGGTGCCTGGGTGGCTCACTTTGTTGAGCACCCCACTTCCACTCAGGTCATGATCTCACTGTTCATTGGTGAGTTCCAGCACCGCTTCAGGCTCTCTGCTTCAGTACAGAGCCTGCTTCGGATCCTCAATCCTCTGCTCCCTCTGCCCCTCCCCCTCTCTCACACGCGTTTATGATCTCTCTCTCTCTCTCTCAAAAATAAACATTAAAAGATAAAACAAACGAAAAAATCAGGAAAGAAATAGAGAACAAGTAGAAAGGCGGACAAAAACAGCAGGAGACCCAGGATGTAGGGTGCAACGATAGGAATAGGACTAGCTGAAGGAAAGCAAGAGGAAGTAGGGTTATGGAGGATAAAGGCTGAGAGGTCTGCACGCACTTGGAGGGGCTGAGGGCGGTCGGACCTCAAAACCCGGGCCTGAAGAAGCCAGCTAAACGCGGAGAAGTGGGGAGCGCCAGCGTAGGGGGAGTCAGGGTGTGGGGATACACGCGCTGGGACTAAGGGGGCGGGGCGCACGCGCCGGGGGATCAGGGAGTGGGGATGCACGCGCTGAGGGTTCAAGGTGTGGGGATACACCTGCTGAGGCTGACGGAGCGCGGCGCACGCACTGAGGAGTCAAGGAGTGGGGATGCACGCGCAGGGGGTTCAGGATGTGGGGATACACCTGCTGAGAATGAGGGAGCGCGGCGCACGCGCAGGTGGGTCAGGGGAGGGCCGCAAGCATGGCGGTTTCGCAGAAAGCGGGCTGCGCGCTGCTTATTGAGCGCAGCCAGAGAGCCCAGGGAGCGAGGTGTCTTGGGTGAGTATCCCCACTGGCTGGGGCGCTGCTGGCCGGGAGTGTCATGCGCCGCTCTGGGGTGGTGACGGTTGTGGGACGGAGAGAGGCGCGAGCCCCTCGCCAAGTTCCGTGGGTGAGGCAGCTGGGTGCCAGCCGCCACGGAGACTCGGAGCCGTCCCGCGAGCGCCCGCAAGCTCCTTGCACGCAGCTCCTTCCCACCCGTCAAATCTGGTGCACACGGGGTCCCCGGCCCCACCTTGCTGAAGGCCTGACGTCCAAAGTGATGGATAAAAGTGTGCCCTGGCTTTGTAAAGTTCTGGAAAACTTAGGTTGATTCCGGAAATTCTGAGAAAAACTTGAAATGACTTTTTTCTCTTTACCCAGTACAGGACTGAAGTCACTGTGAATCATCTAATTTGATTTCTACTTGAAAATGTCCTGTGTATGTGTTGTTTCAGTGTTAAAATATAGTTTGTGTGTAATTTTATTTTAAACAGCTTATATTTAAAATGGAATTTTAAAAAATGTTAATGGGGGGTAAGGGACAGAGAGAGAGGGAGACAGAATCCCACACAGGCTCCACACTCAGCATGGAGCCCATTGTGGGGCCCCATCCCATGACCTGGAGATCATGACCTGAGCTGAAATCAAGAGTGGGATGCTAAACTGACTGAGCCACTCAGCTGCCCCTAAAATGAAATTTTAAAATGGTTTAAGACTTTAAGGAATCTGGCAGCCTTTGGTTTTTTTAGATGCTTTTTGAAAACCAACAGTTTTAACAGACGTCATAATTTTTGGTTTCGGAACATAAAATTTTAATAGTTTCTGAACTAATCATCTTCTTAAGTATCAAATAGAGAATAAAACATCTATTTGAGAGACCTTGTTGTCTTTGTACTTATAGAACCTAGCATGTGTCTGGCACATTATAGACATTTAACAAATGTTTGCATTGAATGGAGAATGGAAGAATGCCATTTTTTAAATGGACAGACCTGTTACATGAAAGCATTTAAACCCATTATGCCCACTCTATTATCTTCACACATCTTTAGAACCTTTAGTTGACAGACTTGCCTAGAGCATTATCTTTTAATAAACCTAACCAAATCCCACCCCAGGAGCTTGTCCTTCATGAGATCAGCAGTGGGATCTCAGAAACTGTATTTTAACCAGCCAGGTGTTCTTTATGCACAGCCAACATAAAGGATCCATCTCAAAGAAACAGATCTCAAGGATGTACCACCAGAATTGTACAACCAATCTTCAAGAACTAGGGTGGCAGTGAGGGGTTTGTGCACTAAAAGCATGGCCAGCCTTTCTCAAGGGCTCTCTGCATGTCAATTTAA